TGAATGGGAAAAAAACTGAAAGTTTTTCCACTAAAACCTGGAACCAGACAAGGCTACCCAGTTTCCTCACTCCTTTTCAACATAGTACTGGAAGTCCTGGCCAATGCAGTAAGACAAGAGAGTAAAATAAAAGGCATTAAAACAGGAAAAGAAGAATGAAATTATCTCTATTTGCAGATAATATGATTATTACATATAAAATCCAAAAGAATCTACAAAAAAAAACTCCTAGAAGAACAAACTGAGGTAGAATTGAAGAGAGCAATCCTATTTACAGTAGCTACAAAAAAAAAAAAAAAAAAAAAGATACCTAGGAATAAGCCTAATTAAAGAAGTAAAAGACCTCTACAAGGAAAACTAAGAAAAACTTAAAATGATACAAAAAAGTAGAAAGACAGCCTATGTTCCTGGATTGGAAGACTAAATATAATCAAAATGTCAATCCTATCCAAATTAATTTACAAATTCAATGCAATTCTGGCCAAACTATCAGAGATATTCCCCACAGAAAAAGAAAAAAAAATTATAAAATTTGTCTGGAATTGGGACCAGCAGTTGGCATAATGCCTATGTCGCTGGACTCCCATGTAGTCGACCACGGTTCAAGCCCTGAACCCGGTGGCTTAAACTCACGCTGGGCACAAGTGTATGTGTGCCCAAGATCCTGAGAGAAGAATGGAGGAGAAGGGATTGTGGCGTGACCATCCCCCCTGGCGGGAGATTTCTCACTTTGTCTGTTTCTGTCTTTTTGGCGAGTGCACACGCCCTATAGCAAAAACCTCTCAAAAAATGTTTTTGTCTGGAATCATAAAAGGCTTCATATAACCAAAGCAATACTATGCAAAAAGAATAAAGTAGGAGGCATCTCACTTTCTGACCTTGAAATAAATTACAAAACTGTGATAATCAAAACAGCATGTTATTGGCACAAAAACAGGCAGGTAGCCAATGGAACAGAATTAAGAACCCAGAAATAAATCCTATAATGTACTGCCAATTGATTTTCAACAAAGAGCACAGGAGAACTCAGTGGGGAAAGAAAATCTCTTCAGCAAATAGTGCTGGAAAACTGGATATCCACCTGCAGAAAAATAAAAATGGACCCCTATCTCTCACCATTAACAAAAATCAACTCAAAATGGATCAAGGATCTAAGCATAAAACCTTATACTATAAAACTACAGGTCAAAAACACAAGGGAAACTCTTGGAGAAATTAGAGTAAGCAAAGACTTTTTAGTTAAGACTCCCCCAAAGCACAGGCAATAATTCTGAAGAAAGATAAGTGGGACTACATTAGGCTAAAAGTCTTCTGTATGGCAAAAGAAATAATAACTAGGGTGAGGTGACAAGCCTGAAATGGGAGAATATATTTGCAAACCTATGCCTCAGATAAGGGGCTGATAACCAGAAGATACAGGGGACTCAGGCAGCTTGCTCAGTGCTATACTTTCATATGCCTGGTGGCACAGTAGGTTTCTCTACGCTGTGTTTGTCTACACCACAAACACATTATTAATGCACTGACTGCACTGTGACATTAGGATGACAATGATATCACTAAGCAACAGAAAATTTTCAGGTCCATAATAACGTTATTTTAAAATTTTAATTTTATTATTATTTGTATTATTAATTTGACCAAAGAGAAGAAAAGTGAGAAAGTCAGCTGCCAAGTCCAGGACTTGAACCATGGTCAATCATGTGGGAGTCCAGCACTTTAACCACCATGCCACCTGCCAGCCCCAGTAATGTTATTTTTAATAATGTTATTTTACGTTTTATATGTGTGGTCAGTCATTGTCAAAAATCTTGTCATGTGACACAGGACTTTGCAATCATAATGAGGAAATTAACATTGCTCCATTACTATCAACTAATCCACAAGTTCCATTCAAGTTTATTTTTTTTTCCCTTTTTTGGAGAGGTTTTTGCTATAGGGCACGTGCATTCGCCAGAAAGACAGAGAGAGACAGAAAGGGAGAAGTCACCCCCTGGGGGGATGGCCATGCTGCATTCCCTTCTCCTCTATTCTCCTCTCAGGATCTTGGGCACGCACGCACACGTGCCCCACATGAGCTTAAGCCACCGGGTCCATGATTTGAATCATGGTCAACTACATGGGAGTCCAGCAACATAGCTACTACATGAACTGCTGGTCCCTCCATTCAAGTTTTGACAGTTGTCTTAATAATGCTGTTCAGAGGGACCAGCAAATGGCTTAATAGTTACATCACTGGACTTCCACATAGTTGACTGCTCTTCAAGTCCAGGACCCAGCAGCTCAAAACTCATGCTGGGCCCGTGTACATGCATGCCCCAAATCCTGTGCGAACAGAGAGAAGGGACTGCGGTGTGGCCACATCCCCTAGGGGAGTGATTTCCTGCTTTCTGTCTCTCTGTCTTTCTCTGCCTCTCTGGTGAACACACATGCCCTAGAGCAAAAACCTCTCAAAAACAATAAATAATAAAATAATGCTGTTGAGGACGCTTGTCTTTCTCTCAGTTTACCCTGATTGCTTTTATTTGGCAGATTTGCAGTTTTTGTTTACTTGTCTGTTTCTCCCATTAAATAATTATTAACTACTCCCATGACAGTCATTCAATCAATATTTGTAAAATAGTTAAATCTTTCTAAACTCCTGCCTTAAGGCAAGAAATAAATGGGGAGATGGTGGAAGGAGATGAAGAAGAAGAAAAGAAGAAGAGGAAGAGGAGAAGGAGAAAAAGAAGGAGAAGCAAAAGAAGAAGAATAAGAAGAAGAGAAGAAGAAAAGAAGAAGAGGAAGAAGAAAAGGGAGAGGGAGAAGGAGAAGAAGAAAAGAAGAAGGAGAAAAGAAGAAGAAGAAAAAGAAGGAGAAAAGAAGAAGAGGAGGAGGAGGAGGGGGAGGAGGAGGAGGAAGAAAAGCAGCAGCAGCAGCACCTCCTAACATAAAAAAGAGGAGGGTGAAAATAATTCAGTAGATGGACATTTGAAAGGTCACAACGTAACCTGAAAAGATAGGAGCAACATTAAGTTTGCCAAAGAAACTAATCTATTATCAGCTTACCTCACGTTCTTTAGGCTCGCCACTAGCTCAAATTCAAGCTAGCTCTGTACTCCACCCAATCCAGGCTTCCAGACTCAATTCTAACCAAAACACAGGGTGAATGTTTGCATACGTTTTCTATCACTTCTGTAATACATTTTCACAAATGTGTGGCTTAAAACAACATAATTTGAATATCTTATAGCTTTGTAGGTCAAAATTTTGACACAGGCTTCACTGGACTAAAATCAAGATGTCAGTAGGACTGTATTCCTGGAAATTTTAGGGGAGAATCTATTTCTTTCTGGAAACCACCCACATTCTTTGGCTCAAGTCTCCCTTTTCCATCTCCAAAGCCAGAAACTGTGAGTCTAGTTTATTTCACACTTCCAGTTTCTTCTGTCCTTCATCCATTGTCCCATCCTCACCACACACTCCATTCTCTTTCTCTAACCAGGAAAGCGATCAGATGAATATATTGTCCCACCCTACTAATACAAAATAATCTTCCCAGCTCAAAATCCTTAACTTTAATCACATCTGCGAAGTACTTTTGCCATGATAGATAATATATTCATAGGTTTGGGGGACTAGGGAATTATTCTGCTTACCGCAAGGCCACAGAGATCAAAGGAATGGATGCCTAGGTACCAGCTAAAGAAGACCACACATTTCATACAAGGGGATAAAGTCAAAACTGATTTAAGAGAGTGCTGAAGCAAATTTTGAATTTTGACTATTCAGTTTACTTAACACTACATATGAAGTTAGAAAAGCCAGATGGTGAAGCAGGGCAAAGAAGGTAAAAGAGTGGGTAGAGAATCCAAAAAATACCACAGACAGACAAATATCTGTGCCCTGAAACTATTGTTGTGGTTCGGTGGTTTCAAAGTTTGGAATCACAAACACACACAACCATATGTTGCTTCTCTTCAGCAAGTTACATATTTCAAAATAACTCAAATTGCTATTTTTCTTTCAAATGCAGTATTGTGTTCAATGCCACCAGATGGCAGAGAAGAGCAGAGAATAAACTCTTAAATATTAGAAGGAAGGAAGGGAAGTACAAAAGGAAGGAGGGAAGAAAGGAGGGAGAAAGGAAAAAAGGAAGAAAAAGACATGGCAAGACCCTTTTCTTATATTTGGAGAAGTCCAGCCCTCTGAATAGGAAGCAAACCCCTATCTCTTAGAATAGAAAAGCATTTTGTTATTAAAGGCTTCCAGATACATACATTGCACAATTTTCCAGTGATAGTTGGGAAACCTGCTAAAAAGTGGGGGCAAGATAATGGCATAGCAGTAAAATCCAACAGTCTGTGAGGCTGACCCATGTGGGAGGGTCCTGAATACAAACTCCAGGATCTCCATGGGTATGCAGTGCACACGTATGTCCATGAGCTGGGTCTGGTTAAAGCTGAGTCTGGCTGAGGCCAGATATGAGTCACAGACTCAAGATCCTGTTGGATGTAGGGGCAGTGCTATCTTTGTCTCTCACTCATGGAAGAAGTAAAAAGATAAACTTAAGAAAAAGTATCTCAGTGAAACACAGTCAAGTGGAACTCAAGTAGTTAGGCAAATTTATAAATCCAGAAAGAACTAAGAGTCACTTTAGCCTAAAAAGAAGCTACTGGAACCAGCAGTTGGCATAATGGCTGTCGCTTGACTCCCGTATAATAGACAGTGGTTTGAGTCCTGGGCCTGGTGGCTTAAACATGCCGGGTGTGTTTGCGTGTGTGCCCAAGATCCTGAGAAGAGAATGGAGGAGAAGGAACTGCGGCATGGCCATCCCCCTTGGGGTTGATTTCCCACTTTCTGTCTCTCTGTCTTTCTGGCGAGCTCACGCGCCCTATAGCAAAAGCCTCTCCAAAAATAAAAATAAAAAAGAAGCTTGTTTGTTTTTGTTTTGCTTTGTTTTGTTTTAAAAAAAACTACTGCCTTGTTTCCTTGAGAAAATTTAATTGCTGCCTCTTCAGTCCCACTTGACTGTCCCTTCTAGCCCCCCAAATTCAGCTAGTCTCAAACTAAGTTCACAGTCTTCCTTCCACACACTCTGCTCTGCCTGTTCCCCATTTCAGGTAACAATATTATCATACACCAAATTGCCAAATCTAGAAATCTTGAGGTCATCTTTGCTACTTCCCTACCCCTCAACTTGTGAAAAATGAGTTTTGTTGTTGTTTTTAAGAGAGATTTTTGCTATAGGGCACGTGAGGGAGGATGGTCACATTGCAATCCCTTCTTCTTCATTGTCCTCTCAGGATTTGGGGCACACACATACATGCACCCAGTGAGAGTTTCAACCACCAGATACAGGATTTGAACCATGGTGGACCAAGTAGGAGTCCAGTGAAATAACCATTTCACCATCTGCTGGTCCCACTTAATTTCTTTTTTTTAGAATGAAGCTATAACTGGCAGCTGCCAAATTACATAGCAATAACATAGATACAAATAACTCTAGTGCTTCCAAAAATGAACTAGCACCAAAATGCATCATAACTTTTCCAACAACTCAATACACTCAGAACATAGACAGGCCAGTGCAGACAAGGTGACAGCATGATTAGGTTCTGGTGATGGCTGAAACTGGGTTACAGAATGCCAACATCTTTTTTTTTTTTTTTTTTTTTTTAGAATTATTTCTTTTGAGACTCTCAAAATATTCAGACAAGAAGCCATTTTAAAGCTGAGGTGTGTCCTGGTGTGTTCAGGGAAGCTATGCTCTAAACCTTCCTAGACTCCCAAAATAATCAGACAAGTACTATGGAGGAGAGATTTTTGTCACAGAATGATCAGAAACAACCACAGAGGCACAAGAAACATCAGAAACCAAGAAAATGTCTCTCCCATAAGGGAAAAGAACAATACCTCATCACCTACAAACAGTACAATAGAATTCTTAGAAATGTCTGATAAAGATTTCAGAATAAGCATATTGACAAAACTAAATGAGATGCAAGTGCTGAGAGATAATGAACTCCAGAAGATGCAGGAGAAAAGAGATGAGTTCCAGGAGGTGTTGAAGTTCTTTCATGATCTGAAAGAGGAAATACATACCATGAAAAAGAATCAAATGGAGCTATTAGAGATGAAGGTTGCCCTTCAGGAAATCAAAACTTCACTCGAAAGTATTAAAAGTAGATTAGTCCATGCAGAAAATCAAATCTTGTATGTTGAAGGTAAAATATCTGATCTATAAAAAAACAACCAAAACAAAAACTGAGGAAATAACCCCCCAAAAATGAGAATACTATAAGAGAAATACTAGACAGCATTAAGCACCCAAACATTCCGATAATTGGTATCCCAGAAGGTGAGGAAACTAATAAAGGCATTGATAATCTATTCCATGAAATCTTGGAAGAAAACTTTCCAAATCTAAAGAGGCAGTCAAATATCCAGACTCAAGGTATACAAAGGTCTCCTAATAGAATCAACTCAAGAAGATCTTCTCCAAGGTACATCATAGCCAGAATGTTCAAATCTACAGACAAAGAAAAGATACTAAAATTGGCAAGAGAGAAACGTCAGGTTACTTATAAAGCCTCTCATCAGAAACAATGCAAGCAAATAAAGAATGGGAAAATATATTCAAACTGTTAAGTGAAAAACAGTTTCAACTAAGAATACTATACCCAGCAAGACTATCTTTCATATGGAAAGAAAGAATAAAAACATTTTCAGATAAACAAGATTTGAAAGAATTTGCCAGTAGCAGATCCACTCTTCAAGAAATTCTAAAAGGAGGGAACCAGCAGTTAGCGTAATGGCTATGTCGCTGGACTCCCACGTAGTCAACTGCGGTTCTTGTCCCAGACCCAGTGGCTTAAAACTCACGCCGGGCGCGTGTGTGTGCGTGCCCAAGATCCCGAGAGGAGAATGGAGGAG